TTTTGGAGAGAGACTTGTTCTCACTGGGTAGCTTTGGCTGTCCTGAAACTCACTCTGTGCACCAAACTGGCCTCCTCGAACTCACAGAGATCCACCTGCCTCTGTCTCCCGAGTGCTGAGATTAAAGCACCGCCCAGCTGTGGTTGGACATTTTATCTTATTCACTTTTCAAATTTTATTTATTATTATTGTGCATGCGTGCACAATGTGTGTTGTGGCTGTGCCTGCCGTGGTGAGTACCTGGAGGTTAGAGGACGATATCATGGGATTGGCTCTCTCCTTCCATCTTTCTGTGGGCTCTTGGAATCAAACCTAGATGTCAGGCTTGCCTCGTGGGGTGTTAGGCCCTTGTAACTGCTGAATCATCTCTGTGGCCCTGGTTGTAGAGTTTGTATTCCCACCAACAAAGGGTAGCCTCCACCAAGGGCACTTTCAGCTCAAGGTCAAGGTCATTGACCTCAGCTCCCAGTGCCACCCTTAGTGTGACCAGAGGTTACAATAACTGGTTTGCCTGCAGCTGCCCTGGCAATCTACTGGACCCTCAGGCTACTTCTCATGGACAGACACCCAGCTGGCCTGCCTTCCTTCCTTCCTTCCNAGAGAGAGAGAGAGAGAGAGAGAGAGAGAGAGAGAGAGAGAGAGAGAGAGAGAGAGAGAGAAAGGCGGGAAGAGGAGAGGAAATGTTGCCTCTTCTGGGGAGATACGGAAAAGGAAAAAGCTCAGGCTGGAAGGAAGGAAGATCGCTTGTTTTGGCGGACAGGGGAGGGAGTAAGCAGGGCTTGTCTCCTAAGCACAGCACTCTGGAACCTCAGTGCATTTATTATACAGAGCTGAACAGCATAGAACTGAACAGGGAAGTGGGTTTTGCATGCAGATAAACATAGGAGGCAGGATTCACACGAGTTGAATAAGGGAGGTAGGTTCCACTAATTTCGGTAGGAACAGTCTCTAAGGGACTATCCAGGCTGTAGATATCTGGGGGGAACTATGGTGAGCATCTTCTGTACACACAATCAACCCAGGGGGTGTTATACCCAGATCACGGAGTCCCCCCAAAAACCAAGTAGGAGACCAAGTCCTGAATGTAAAAGCAAAGAGCCTTTATTCTTACATAAGTTTGCAAACTCTGACTCGCTGTGTATCCAACATATTGGAGTGATCGGAGAGCCCCAAATTCAGTTGGGGTTGGGTTTTTATAATAGCAAAGGTAGGGATAAGGGATTTCTAAGGTTCAGGACCCCGGGTTGGCTGACATTTGTCTAGGGGCGTCCTGGTGAAAAGCAATGGGTGTGTGCTGGCAGGTGATCCTATCTACAAGGGTTGGAACATTAGGAATTTCCTTTGGATGGTCTGTTCCTGGGTGGTGCCTGGGTGGTCTCGGTTTGTGTTCTTTCTTAGAACCAGGTATTGCCTTAGGGTAAACTACTGAAACTGGGGCCTCTGCTGAGCTTGTCACGGCTGGGTCCTGCAGTAGCAAAGGAAAATGTTGTCTTTCACCATGGGGTCCTTGACATGGCCATGCCCGTGTCAATGATACACATCTCACAGGACCTCAAACACCTAGGGCTTCCTCTGTTCCCCACAACACTATACAGTAAAGACTGAGCTTTTTCCTCCATATATCCAATTGTAGGTGTACAAGAAGCCTGTTCTGTGGGGCTTTCACAGGAGCCAGGGCACTTGGAGCAGGAGTAGGAGCTGAAGGCTGGCCTGGAGCTGGAACCTTGGCTATGGTTTAAGCCTTGGACTATAGTTAGCAAGAGCCTGTGACTCAGGAGCATGCAGCCTCAAATGTGCTTCACAAGGTTGGGTGAGCCATGACAACAGGCTGACAGCTTGCAGCTGGGGCCTCTGGCATCCTGGCTTTAACCACCTCAGGATCACAGAGCTTTGATGGCCTCTGCACGTCCACTTCCTTAGCCTTGTTTGACTGCATCTTCCTCAGCCCCTTTTGTGATGTTTATTAGCAAAGCACATGCATGTTCCTTAGGAACTTGGGGTCAACGCCCTTAAGAGAGTCATGTCTCTGTGACTGGGGTTTCTGATGCCATTTCTGTGCCATTTTCAGGATTGGTTGTGTGTGGTGTGATCCTTGGACTCCTGAAGTGCCTGGGACCAGAAAAGAAAACCAGGGAAAACTGGGTCTCTCTCTCTCTCTCTCTCTCTCTCTCATTTTTCAAGACAGGGTTTCTCTTCGTAGCCCTGGCTGTCTTGGAACTCACTCTTTAGACCAGGCTGGCCTCAAACTCCACCTGCCCCCCAAGCGCTGGGATTAAAGGCATGCATCACCACTGTCAGGCCCAGGGATATTTCTTTATTCTTTATTATTATACTTTAGAAATTCTCTCTCTCTCTCTCTCTCTCTCTCTCTCTCTCTCTCTCTCTCTCTCTCTCTCTCTCTCGGTTTTTTGAGACAAGGTTTCTCTGTAGCTTTGGAGTCTGTCCTGGAACCAGCTCTCATAGACCAGACTGGCCTCGATCTCACAGAGATCAGCACGCCTCGAGTGCTAGGATTAAAGGCGTGTGCCACCACCGCCTGGCCTGTGTGAATGTGTTAAGCATCTGTGTAGGTTCATTCACCTACGTGGGCACATGTGGAGTCCAGAGGTGAACATCAAGATGTTTTCCTTAGTTGATTCTCCACTTTATATTTTTTTGGATATTTTTGTTAATTCTTTGAGAATTTTATACAGTGTATTTCAGTCATATTCACCCCACACAATTCTTCCCTCTGACTCCTCCCAGGTCCATTTCTACTTCCTAATACTCCCTAACTTTGCATCTTATTTTTCTTTTCTTTTTTAATAACCTATTATTAATTATTAATAACACTGCACTGCCCATAAACTCCTGAGTGTGAGGCCATTACTAGAGTGCGACCAACTTACCAGGAGCACACCCTTAAAGAAAATTCACTCTTCCTCCTCCAGAAACCACCACCTGTCCCCAGCTCCTCAGTTGTAGTGGGGACTCATGAGCCCCTCCCATTCCATGCAGGAAAGCTGAATGGCTGGGTTTTATGCAGGCAACTCCAGCTGCTGCGAGTTCCTGGGTGATGTGGTTCAGACGATGCTGCTTGCTGTGCTCGCTCTCGTTCTCCCTGATCTCTGGCTCTTAGAGTGTTTCCACTCCTTCTGCACGATGGTCCCTGAACCTTTGGAGGGGTGTGCTATAGATGTTCCATTTGTGGCTGAGCTCTCCATTGACCCTGATGCCCTGTGCTTGTCTGCATAGCCTACCCCACCCTCTATCACTCACTTCTCTAGTGAAGTCTGAGAGCTATACTAATCTGGGGGTAGAGAGATACAGATTTGTAGGGCAGTTTGACCTTAAGTCCATTTTACCCATTTTTCAGAATAATAGCGGTAGGGTTCATCCTGGGACTTGTGAACTCTCCAGTCTTGGGTTCTTGGTTAGACTTACAGTATTGGACCTATGTTTCCTTTTGTGGAGCAGGCCACACAGAGCCAAGCAGAAAGGAGTTGATTATCCCTGTGACATTCCTGTCACTATTGTAACCATGGGAACCTAATTTTAAAATACCTCTCACTGAGCCCAGAGTTAATTATTTCTCACTACACTGACTGATGGCCAGCCCCCTGTCTCTGCACACACCCAGTACTGAGGTTTCAGAAGCACACAAGTATGCTCAGCTTTACTGCTGGTGCTGGGGCTCTGAACTCAGATTCTCACATTTGCTTAACAAGCACTTTCCCCTGGCTCCCCAGAGATTTTTTTGAGGTAGATTTAATAAGATGTGGTGACTTTGGATGAGCACAATTGATCAGGGGAAAGTGATGCTCTGACTTTGGGTTCAAGGCCTGGAATTTAAGTTTTGGTTTGGATCTACACACTAGCAAGCTTGAGAACTGAACGTCAGCTTTGGTAAAGCTTAGCCCTTTCAGTGCCGGTTCCTCTCGTGTTGATCCAGCTCCACCGAGTACCCATGCCATACACCTCAATCTAACTGGAACACCACGCCCCCTAGTGGACAGTCAGCGCCTGGGTCCTTTTTCATCTCGAGGAATCTGAGCATGACTTGTTTTTTTACTTGTGTGCTTTTCTCTGTAGCTCATTTCCACATCAGAAGTGTTTGACTGAATTTTCCAGTAACTTTTTTGGGGGATTGTGGTGGTTTCAAGACAGGGTTTTTCTGTGTAGACCAGGCTGTGAACTCAGAAATCTGCCTGCCTCCCCTCTGAGTACTGGGATTAAAGGTGTGCATCACTCTGCCTAGCTTCGGTGACTTGTTAAATCCTTCCCATTTCAGTTTCCTGTACGCTCTCATTGTAACCTCATGTTTAGGAAAAGGGTGGTTACCCTTGTTCTAATGCTATGATAAACACCGTGACCAAAAGCAACTTGAGGAGGAAAGGGTTTATTTGATCTTAGAGCTCTCGCAGACCATCCCATCAGAGCAGAGTCAGGGCAGGAACTCAAGACAGGAATCTCAGGACAAGAACTGGAAGAGACATAGAGGAGTTCTGCTTACTGGTCTGCTTAGCTTGCTTACTTGGCATGCTTCTCTTTCAACTTTAATTTTTATTTCTGTGTGTGTGCCAAGTGCATGAAGTGTCCTAGAAGGCCTGAGGAGGGTATCAGATCCCCTGGAACTGGAGTTAGAGACAGTCGTGTGCTACCCAGTGTGGGTGCTAGGATCTGAACCTAGGTCCTTTGTAAGAACAGCAGGTGCCTTTGGCCATTGAGCTGTCTCCAGTCCTTCATCATTCTTTCTGTAGTTTTAAAGACCACCTGTCCGGGGCTGCACTGCCCCCCAGTGTCAGGGTTCCTCCCACATCAATCATTAATTAAGAGTATGCCCTTTAGACTTGCCTACAAGCCGGTCTAATAAAGGGATCCTTCCCAGTTGAGTTTCCTCTTCGCAGATAACTGTAGCTTGTGTCAAGACAAAAACTAACCCAGGGCGCACTCACTCCTGATTAACTGGATGATCATTGTCTTCCATCTGGGACCATGTTAATGTTAATTCTTTATTTCAGAGCCATCATCAATCACTTTAATCCCAAAATTGAGTCCTACGCTGCTGTGAATCACATATCTCAACTCTCGGAAGAACAGGTAAGTCAGTCCTCTCTGCGGAATGGCCTCCCTGGTGCTGTCTGCTAATGGGATCCTGTGACTGAGCTCCAAGCAGGGTGGTAAAGCCAGGCTGCTGAGAAGAGTTAGTGCAAGATTGCTTGCTGATTCTTTAAATAGAGTAATACCTTCTTCATTTGTGCCTTCTGAAGGATTTGTTTAATTATATAGAGAATATGAGGTAAAATTTGACGAGTTACTGTCCTGTGGTGGGTGACAAAATATTACTTTTTAAGCTCTCAACCAGTTGTTTTGATTTCTGAAAGTCAGAAATGTCAACATGATGTGCCCACCTGTGATCCTTGCACTCGGAAGGTGGAGGCAGGAGTTCAGGTTATCCTAGGTTATCTTAAGCTGCGTAGTGAATTCAGGGACAGCCTGGGCTGTGTGCCACCCTGTCTTAAGAATGCAAACAAACAAACAAATACACAAATAAATAAATAAAACATGAGAACTTAGAAATGAACGTAAATTCCCGCCACAGGAAAACTGAAGGTGTGTGCTCATTGAAGCACCAGCTCTCATTGAGATAGTTTTTCTTTAGTGATTGAGTTCTCTTTCCCTTGGACAGTCATTTCTGGGCAGGTTTCCTGTGGTATTGTCTGTGTTGAAGATAGCCTCATACATTTGTTTACCTGAGGTCTGGCCTGATTTTCCCTTCTCCCTTATTGCCTGTATTCAGCTCTATGTTGTATAAAAGTACAAATGGGGCTTCAGCATGGCGTGGAGTTGAACTAGCATTCGTTCTGAGCTTTTTCTTCTTCATTTTTTTTTAAATAAGTGGGGGTTTTTATTTGTTTTTTGGAAGACATGGTTTTGTTTGTTTGTTTGCTTGTTTGTTTTTCCCCCAAAACAAGGTTTCTTTGTGTAGCCCTGGCTATCCTAGAACTAGCTCTGTAGATCAGCTGGCCTCAAATTCATAGAGATCTGCCTGCCTCTGCCTCTGCCTCCTGAGTGCTGGGATTAACAATGTATACCACCACTGCCTGGCTTAAATAAGGATCTGTATTAGAATAATAATTGATAAGTGCATAACTTTATATAAAAGTACTGTTTACAAAGGAAAAAAATACATAAAACCAGGGTCATATAGCCTAATTTAGCTCATATAGCTGAATTCACTGTGTAGGTGAAGATGACCTTCAGCTCCTGGCTCTCTGGCAGGTATGCCCCACCTTGCTGTTTCATTCAGAGACTTTTGAGTCTTGTATCAAAGGCACAAAATAAGATGATGAGGAGATGGCTCACTTGGGTGAAGTGCTTGCTGCTCAAGCCTGGGAACCTAAGCTTAAGCCCCAGTATGCACATAAAGAAGCCTGTAATCCCAGCATAGGAAGGCCAAGGTAGATGGATCCCTGGAGCTTGCAGGCCAGCCAGTCTAGTTGCATAGGTGAGCTCTAAGTTCAGTGAGAGGCATGTGCACACGTGCGCACACACAAAGTAGAAGCAGTTGGAAAAAGACATTGGTTATAAACCTCTGTCCTCCACACACGCTTACTTGCTCTACATAATACATACATAAATACCTAATTCTCTTTCTTGCTTCCCATCGTGTTGAAATATGAGCAGCAGGGCTTCGTCCCCAGCACCCTGGCCGCCTGCTAGCTCATGCCCAAAATAACAACACACAAACTGTATTCATTTAAAGACTGCTTGGCCCATTTCTCTCTAGCCTCTTCTAGGCTAATTCTCACACCTGGATTAGCCCATTTCTAATAATGCGTGTAAGCACCCCAAGGTACGCTTACCAGGAAGATTCTAACCTATGTCCATCTTGGGTCGGAGCTTCATCGTGTGTGCCTCAGAGAGCAGAGCTATCGGGAGAGCGGAGCATGGCGTCTCTGCTCCAGAGCAGAGCTGTCGAGTCTGAGCTCACTTCCTCTTCCTCCCAGCATCCTATTCTGTTTACTCCTCCCATCTATGTTTTAACCTATCAGGGCCAAGGAGTTCCTTTATTGCTTAACCAATGAAATCAACAGATTGATATATGACACTCCCACATCACCATCGTTCTCAGTTGAAAAAGCCAAGGAATAAATTCCAAACTAGTGAAACTATGTGTGTTCTGTTCTTCCTTGCCAGTGCATCACTGTAGCTCTTGTGAGTGTTTTACTGGCAGGACCAGTCAGCAAATGTATTATGACCATGTGTTCCAGTGTTCCTGTTCAGTTCACCCAGCGAGGCAGTAGGCAAGGCAGAGCCTTCTCAGTACTCCCCCCAGTGGCTCTTCCTGCAGCCAGATGGATAGTACTCTATTAATCTGTCAGTTGTTCCCTTTGAAATATTTGTTCTCTTTTGTGAAGCCAGCTGTGTGACTCCATCCCCATACTTAAAGCCGCCTTTATAAATGGCTTTCATTTTCTTTTTTTCCTCTGCCTATAGAGCAGAGCAGATTCCTGTTCTTTTGTACTGGAGCTGTCTGTGAGGTATTTATTGATGCTCCCTTTTCCTGTGGACCAGTTCATGATAATTCTACTGTGTCGTTTTTAGACAGAACAGTCCGTGTATTATGTTCTGTATGTTAATGGAAGGAGATGCTCCTACCACTGTCATTCTGCATAGCCTGAAAGCTACGTGCAGTGTTCACCTCAGCAGCTTGGGAAGGTCAGCCGCGGGGTTCTCTCCGAGTAGCAGCCGCCAGCCAGTGATAAAAGCCCATTGCAGTGCATGAGGAAGTCAGAAGAGGAAAGATTAACAAAGTTATCCTCACCCTCTTTCATCTTCTTTCAAGGTTAAAAGTGGCAAATGAGGCAGTTCCTAGGGAAGGGAACTCTGTTTATTCAAGAATGGGGAAGAGGGCTGGGGCTGTCGTGCCAGGTAGAGTGCTTGTGAGTGCTCACCTAGCATGTAGGGAATCCTGATTTCGTGCCCCAGCACCACTACGGTGGGAGGAGTCCTCATGTAAATAGTTACACGTAGCTGTGACACTACAGAAGACAGTCAGGATCACAGGTGGAAGCCAAGTCTAATCTCTGCACTCATAGAGTTATCGTGTGCTCATGGGCTCATTACTGCTAGCAGGATGCTGTTATCCCAGGACTCTGCTCTCAAAATAGTTGTTTCTCTTCCCCAACTGCTTCTGAGGGCTGCTAAGGATAGCACTATAGCGCACTTGTTTTTATCAGATTAGAGGCATTTGACTGCCTGTCTATCTCCAACATGTAGAGTGCTTCTCTCCCTTCACTTAGGAACATTAATGCTGATGTCACAATGTCAAGAGTATTTGCAGCTTCCCAAAGAGCTGGGTTTCAGGGTAGTAAGGCCCTGCAGCTGGTAGCAGCTATTCTTAGTAGGGAGGGAAAAGAAAAAAAAATAAAGCAAAACAGGATTAAAATCCCTAGCAGATTCTAAATACTTCTATAAGGTAAGACCTAAAGCCTGTTAATATATGTTAGCTGGGGTTTATAGCATACAGTAAATCAAGCAGATAGGACAGACCCTTTGCTAGCCCTGCCTGCCCAGCTTGTCATTTTGTTCCTACAAAGATTTGTGGATTTTTTTTAAAAGACAGGCTTATACACTGTAACCTAGGCTAACCTGGGACTCACTATATAGCCCAGGCTGGCCTTCAGTTCCTCTTGTGTCAGGCTCTTAGGTGCTGGTATTAGAGATTGGAGCAACTGTGACCACCTAGATTTGTGAAGTTTTTCTAAGTTTACGTATTTTTATAATTTAAGTGCAAGTCAGTCTTTAGTCACTTGTCTCTCGAGCAAACAAACAAGAAAACAGTTTCTCTATATAACCCTGGCTGGCTTCACTTACAGAAACCCACCTGCCTCTTCCTCCGTAATGCTGGATTACAGGTGTGCACCCAGAGTCCCATCCTAATTCTTTGCTTTTGATTCAGTCACAAACAGTAAGGGCCTATCGATGCCAAGCACATTGTGAGGGCTGACGGGCAAACCTTCCTCTTTTTTTTTTTTTTTTTTTTTTTCGACATACACCTTTTTTTTTTAAATATTTATTTATTATGTATACAATATTCTGTCTGTGTGTATTCCTGCAGGCCAGAAGAGGGCACCAGACCCCTTTACAGATGGTTGTGAGCCACCATGTGGTTGCTGGGAATTGAACTCAGGACCTTTGGAAGAGCAGGCAATGCTCTTAACCTCTGAGCCATCTCTCCAGCCCAAACCTTCCTCTTTTTAAATTGTCGTTTAAGATTTGCCCCAACCACACTGAACCTTATAGAAGAGAAAGTGGGAAGTACACTTGAACACATTGGCACAGGGAACCACTTCCTAAATATAACCCCAGCAACACAGACACTGAGAGAAACAATTAAAAAAAAATAAAAAAAATAAAAGATTTGCCATCCTAACAATGGTTAGGGTGTAGGAAACAGTTTGCTCAACAGTACACACGTGGATGCCCCAGATCTCTGAGGCTTTTCCTTCCTGCAGAACTGAAACTGTCTGAACAGCCCTGCTCCTCTTCCTGTGCTGCCTTGGCAACCAGCATTCTGCTTTCTGTTTCTGAGGCAGACAGACTATCTTCAAGCTTCACTTTCACCCCAGGGCCTAGAAGCTTGCTAAGAATTTCTCCAAATACAAAGTCAAGGATTTCCTGAGGCAGTCTTAAAGGTTGGGATATAGCTCAAAATCCAGGGTGCTGCCTCTTCACCTAGCCTACTGGAGTCTCCTGGTTAATTTTCCCAGTACACCCCCCACCAAAGAAAGAATGTTAAGAGAAAAAAAGCATTCTGCTGGAATATCCCTGGAACGTAGAAGATGCAGTCAGATCCTTTCATTTTCTATATTAGGAATTGTTGTTGTTTTGATTATTATGATGCAGTCACAATCAGTTTGCCTGTGTAGATCTTTGGGTTTTTTGGTCTTAGTGTTTTGCCTGCATGTATGTCTGTGCACCATATTCCTGCCTTGTTTTTTCAGTTGAGGTTTTATGTAGTTCAGGTTAGCCCAGAACTAACTTCCTTGTAACTGAGAATAACCTAGAGTATTTGATTCCTGTCTCTACTTCTC